GATGATGTAACAACAGAAATAATTTTCTGGTTGGGATCACCACACATGAGGGACTGTATTAAGAGTCACGTCACAGCATTAGGAACACTGAGAACCACTGCTGTACAGACATCTAAACACAGAATCCGACTCCTCAGATATGTCTGGGACCCCTTCATCATTGTCCCCATACTCCTATGGATGCACAGCCCCACATCAGGACACCCACACTCACATCTCTGTGCAAGCGGAACCCTGTTCTTCTTTCTCCGTCATTTCTGTATCCACACAATATGCTATATTTCCAAATTGGTTTTTTTATATCTTCATCACTCATCTTAAGGTTGTGTCTGATCCTTTGACCAACCTTTTTCCTGTTTTGTGATTCTTCTGCAGGGTCTGGGTCATTGTTCTGCACACACAACCACAAACAGTACAACAGCAGCCTCCAGTCCCTTGTTGCTTACCTTTGAGGAAGCTGGGCATCTAAGGTAGGTTTGCTAGCAGGAGACTTGCTTTCAAGATCATGATGTCCTTGCCAGAGCCTGGACTCGAGGATGCTGCAGCACTTAGATCTGCCCAGCATCGTGGCCCTGTCCCAAGCTCTTCACAAATGTGGTGGGAGCACATTTGGGGATTTTTACAAGTGGTCCCTAGACANAGCACTTAGATCTGCCCAGCATCGTGGCCCTGTCCCAAGCTCTTCACAAATGTGGTGGGAGCACATTTGGGGATTTTTACAAGTGGTCCCTAGACACTGGTATGGCTCCCCTGGCTGTGAAGGATATTCCTAGCTTATTCTTGATTTCACTAGTAGCTGAAAAATGAGAATGCTATTCCATGAAAAGAAGCCATTGGTGAATTTAAAAAGTCATAGCACGGGGGCTGGCGACATAGCTCATGTGGTAGAATGATTGCCTAGAATGGAAAATGCTCTGTGTTCTTTGACCCTCTGGGCATGTTCACCCTCACCTGTAATACCAGCACTCAAGGCATAGAGGGAGGAGGAAAGAGACATGAGAGTCAATACTGTTCATGAGAGTGTGGCTCCCAGCACCCATGGCAGATAGCTCACAACTGCCTTTAACTCCAGCTCCATCAGGAGTCAATGCCTCTGCCAATCATGTGCATACCACAGAAAGGCAGACAGACAGACAAGCATACATAATAAAAAGTAAAACTAAAATCTAACCAAAAAGAAGAAGAAGAATCAGCTCCAGGTTATTGAGCCAAGGGGAAAACACAGTGGAATTTAAAATATGAACATTATAATGGCTAATGGACTTTAACAGTCTACAGTGTTCCTGAAAAGATGGTTCAGTGGTTAAGAGTGCATTCTGTTCTTGCTGAGGACGCAAGGTCTGTTTCCAGCATCCATTTCCAACATCCGTGATGGACCGTACCTCAGTACCATCTGTAGACACCGGAATTAATGAGTACATAATGCAAAAATACACACGACATAATTATTAACATAATTATAACATAAGTTATGCACATTCTTTGCCTTAAAATCATTTACAAATTAAAATAATTGCTGTGAAACATTAAAGAAAAATGCTCAGGGGTCAGGCAGTAATGAGAACAGTTGTCATCAGCGTTATGTGGCAAATGCATGCACTTCCAGCTATTTGAACACTGGGGTTACAGGATCATTAGTGCTAAGAAGTTTCAGAACAGCCTGACTAGGATAGAGAGGCCCTGCCTCAAAATGAAAACCAAACAAAAATCAGAAATATCTCACAAAATGCTAAATTTCTGAGAATAGCAATCTTAGAAAACATGGTTTTTCAAGACATGTGGATCATTATAAAATAAATTTTTGCAAGGAATTCGATGATAAAATTACTTATTTCTTGGGAATTCAACAATACACATGTAGAAAATGGAATGAAAATGTTACTGGGCCGAGAAGAAAACAGTAGCATTAAGAATGTGTTTACATTAAAATGAATACTTGAGCTGGTGCAGTGTGCTAAGCTGGGAAGACCAGCAGCACTCTGAAGGCTGGAGGAGGAAGGGGAAGAGTCCCAGGCTGGGCTGGGCTGCACCGTGAGACTCTGCACTAAAGACACAAGGTAGATATCAGGACTATTATCATTCCATTCACTGTGGGAAAATTTCAGCTTAGTTCTGTCATGGGAAACCATCCTCTTTCCATCAAATGAGAGGCACAGCCCTGTGCGCCCCTGGCAGACACATTAAAGATTACCATCCCCTAAATGGGGAAGTGACTTCTTCACCACCACATACAGCAAGGCGCGCAGAAAATGGCAGCTGGGACTGTACTCACATAGCTCATTCTCCAGAGACTTCCCTGCAGACAGTCCTGTGCCTTAGGGGTAGGAATCAGCCCAGCAACAGGCACAGATTTACTTATGGTACTATATGTGCTTTCCTGTGGTGTTTGAAATTTCGTATCCAGGAAGGAAAGTACTTTAAAGTGTAAACTGAGAAAATACTTGTGCTCGGGTGGTAAAAGCAGGGCTGGGGAGACAGCTAAATCAGTAAAGGGCTGGCCTTGTGGGCATGAGGCCCTGAGTTCCATCCCTAGAGAGCATCATCAAGAAAATGAAGTTAAACTACAGCAGAAAAAATAGCAAATGTGGAGGGAGATGCTTGTGTGTGAAAGTGGAGGCGAGCCCATCCCTGGAGTGTGCTGACCAGCCAACCCAGCCTGCCTTGCATGTTCCAGGCCAGTGAGAAACCTTGTCTAAGTAAAACTTCAGGAGGATGACGCCTGAGGTACAACACCAGAGGCTGTCTTCTGTCCCCTGACCACATGCATGTATGCATACAATGGCAGAGGCACACACAGACACACACATACGCACACACGGGCACACACCCACACATTGGATAAAGGATGTATATACCTTCTGTACTTTAGAAGTAGTCATTGTGTTCTGTTTCTGGGCAATGAAGAAGAAGGACAAATGGAATCGACTCTGATGCTTTGTGCAGGCCTCTGTGTGTGGGGTGTGTGTGTGTGTGTGTGTGTGTGTTCGTGTTTACACAGAGCTCCACCATCTCTATCTAATGAGGCTGCTTTATATTAGCCTTAGACTGGGATTGGTCTACAATCTCAGGTTTACATATGATATATCTAAGATGTCAAGGTTTATGTGCCAGGACAATATACTGAGGTGAAAAACACTGCCTTATCTCCAGAGGTAAAGTCCCTTCAAGTCCAGGTCACAACCAATGTTCCCTCCCTCCCAACCACAGAATCTACTGGGCCCAAGATTCTCACTGATGTAGTTCCCACTATGGCCAGGAGGTGGCATTCAAACTACATGCCTACATTAATTTTCTTTAAAAGGGCTGATGTTTTATGGAATAGCAATGCGTTTTTAGTGTGTTTGGAAAGCTGGCACACATATAGAGCAGTTCCATTTATGGACTGCAGCAACTGTAGTGCTCCACAACTCACTTCATCCTCCCTGAGTGAAAAGTGGGCAGTGCACACGGGATACAGAGTGGTGCTCTATAGAGAATATGAATGTGGTGGTCACATTGAATCCCCTGACACTGGGATGGATGAATTTCCTAGACTTTCCATCCCCTCTCCAGGAGGCTGTGGTACAGCCCCCAGATGGCTCCCTGCCAGACAAGTTGTATCCTGGTCAGTCACTGCCATTGTGTTGCACCATGCCTGCTGGGGATTTCCAAGAGCAACCTGGTGTTTGTGGTGTGATTGCCATGTATGCTTCCATGGTGTTTGTGGTGTGTTTGCCAGGTACTTTTCCATGAATATGGTCTGCATATGGTTCAGATGTAATATGTATTCACCCTTACGATGTAGACCAAGCTTGGGGGCCGTTCTCTGTTGCAAGAAGATCTCTAAAGTATTTCTTTTACCTCCCCATCATTTTAGAGCCACTAACTAGATACTGAAAAAGAAATTATCCCCTGAGACCTACAAGAAGAGATAACACAGAAGAAAAGAGGCAGGAACCCCAAGTCCCTTGACAGCCACAGGCCATTGTCTGAGCTACTGTTCTATTGCTGGGAAGAGGCGCTGTGCTGAAGGGAATTTACAGAAAACAGCATTAAATTGGGAGCTTGCTGTCAGTGTCAGAGGGTTAGTCCAGTACCATCACTGTGGGCAGCATGGCAGCAGGCAGCCTGGCAGGGCACTGAAGCAGTAACTGATAGTTTACATCCTGATCACAGGAAGGGGCAGAGGGCTTTGAGACATCAGAACACACACCCAGTGACAAACCTCGTCCAATAGGGCCACACATCCTAATCTGTCTTAAACCATCCACCATTGAAACATTAATCATAGGAGCTTATGGCGACCCTCCTCATTCAAACTACCACCGTCCTGTAAGGGATTTCCTCTGCCCCATCAGCAGCTGCAGAGGGAGAATTGGGGCTGGTTGAATACCCATAATGCATTGACTAGAATCTGTTCCAAGATGTCAGTCATTAATACAAGAGACTACTGTGTGACATTTGGGGCGAGCAGGAGGCCATTCAAGTTACTTGTCTAAAATAATGTGCTCTTCAGAAGACAGTAGTCCCCTTTTGACCCTCTTCATGGATACACCTGGTAAACTGAACCTGTAAAGACCTTGAGTACACAGGAATTTACAAAACGTCATTTGTCGTGGTCAGTGTTCTATCGCTTTGAAGAGACACCATGAGTAAGGCCACTCTTATCAAAGAAAGCATTCACGTGCCTTGCTTATACGTTCTGAGGTTGGTCTGTTACCATCACGGCAGGGAGCATGGTGGCACGCAGGCAGACATGGTGTTGGAGAAGTAGCTGAGAGTTCTATTACCTGATCCACAGGGAGAGAGAGGTTGACACTGGGCCTGGCATGGGATTTTGAAATTCAAGGCCCACCCCCAGTGGCATTCTTGCTCCTATGATGCCACATCTCCTCCAACAAGGAACCACACCACCTAAGCCTTCTCAAAGAGTGCCCCTCCCTGGAGACTAAGCATTCAAATATGGGAGCCTATGGGGTTCATTCTTATTCAAACCTCCACACTACCTCCAGACTCCAAGAGATTTGAGCTCTCTGTGTGCCAGGCGCATAACCCTGGGATGGTCTATGCTGTAACTAAGAGAACATTAGCAGATGAAAGCCTCCCTCTTGTCCCACACTGATGCTCCCCCACTTTTCTGCAAAGAGGATGTATGAAATTTCTCTCTCTCTCTCTTTTTTTTTAGCATAAGGTGAACTTCTCCCCACTTTGTGCTCTTATATGGGTATCATAAACACAACTTGGTCAGCAAGGTTTCCCTTCCAATTCTGCAGTTGCTTCTAGGCTACAGTCTGAGACATTATACCAGGATATCAGATATGCACATAGCCAGAGTTTTGTGGAACTCATCAATTTCTCAGACATGCACAGACAGGTGTTCTCTTCAGGTGCTTAGCTGACTTTGGGCAAATGAAAACATCGTGCAAATTACTAAAATGGGAAACTCAGAGATGTGAATTGTCCTGCTGCTTGAAGAAGCAGGCCCACTGGTGAAAGAAAGTGTCCTTGAGTCCTTCCTTGTGAGTGGGCACAAATATCCACAGGGGAATTTCCTTTTGTAAGAAGCAGCTATAGAATGAGATGGTAGGGCATGCAGACAGGGTACTACCTTAGTAAATTCCTAATGCAGTGAATAAGTTAACTATGTATGCCACCCTTGGGGAGCTGAAGTGATAGATGGTTCATGGCGAGAAAAATAATCTGTTAAAATTGGAGGCAGGTGGCTGGGTGGTGGTGGTGGCGCACGCCTTTAATCCTAGCACTTGGGAGACAGAGGCAGGTGGATCTCTGTGAGTTTGAGGCCAGCCTGGTCTACAAGAACTAGTTCCAGGATAGGCTCCAAAGCTACAGAGAAACCCTGTCTCAACCCCACTCCCAGTGGAGGCAGGTAACATCTGATGATTCATGTCAGAATGGCAGGACCGCAAGGCATCTAGCCAGGGTCTATAGCCTTGAGAACTGGGGCGGCTGACGGGGATTCAAGGATCCATGCATTCAGGGCAACAGAGAAATCAGTACATTTTGGTTTGCGTCATCTTCTGGCCACAATAAGAAAGCTTTTGAGAAATTACATTTCCAGTGATTATCTCTGAAATGAGCCAATGGATTTTTACAGAATTGAAATACTTCACGTACTATATGGTACATAGAAGGACCTCAATAGATTCCAACCTGGCCCAACTTTCTCCTTCCTACCATGGAAGCAAGGAGAGTGGCTAGAATCAAACAGTATGACTCACATGGAGGCCACCTGGAATGGTAGCAATAAGAAGCAGCGCACACTCATGCTTGAATTGAGCTTCAAGCTTCGGAGCCATTGTTGTGATGTAAGGTGATGATGGCGATGGATTTTAGACTGTTTCTTATTAACTTCTGTCTGCTTGATGTATAGTTCAGTATCAGAACATTGATATTGGTACTGGTAATACTGATATTCAGTATCAGATTTCCGCTGACTTATAGTTGACAGGATCATGCACACACGAGAGAGAGAAAGAGAGAGAAAGAGGCAAAGAGATCATAAGCCCCTGACTCTCCAGCCGATTTGGTGTAGCATCGAGATTCCTGCACTGTGATGTCCTCTGCTCCATTAGCTTCACCATAGACATAGGGTTGCTGACTGAGTTGTCACAAGCACACAGTTAAGGAGAAGGAATGAGTTTGTGTGATTCCTCATTAGCCTTGTTCCGACTGTGTAAGTTGGGAATAATGATGCCTTCCTCCTAGAATGGTTAGGAGTGAGTAATGTTAAACATAGGATCGCTGAGATGTCTGCAGTTGTCAATGAAACCATAGACAAAGATCCCGATTCCACCTTTTCTTTCTTCTGAAGAGTGTTCCTGAGATTCCTGTAGTTGGGTTGTCTGGGACTACTTTCATATGAGTAGCTATTATGCTCTCTCTCTCTCTCTCTCTCTCTCTCTCTGTTTCTCTCTTTTTCCCTCCCTCCCTCACTCCCTCTTGCCCTCCCTCCCCCTCGTGTGTGTGTGTGTCCTTATAAAAAGGATTTTTCTCTTTTATTGAACATACTAGACAGTGTCACACGGGGAAGGAATGAGGGACAGTTTACAGAATTCTTTAGCAGGGTGCTTACAAGGTTTAAGTCAGTGACTCCAACCGACCCAGATATACAGACAAATGCTATCAAGTAATATCTCTGTGTTGTCTTCAACATTTATGGCAGGTATTCATTTTGTGAGGTTGTGTGATTGCTTTCGACCTAAATTTGCTATTAGCAGCATTGATTACCACAACGTGCATACAATACATTCCTCTGGGTCAGGGGCACAGTGGAGTATGCCCATAACTGAAGGTTACAGCTATGCATTAGCTTAGGCTGTAAAAGTTGATTGCCTTGGAAAATTGCAAGGGAAGTAAGGTTTGTTGTTGCATTGTTCTCTGAAATGTAGGTTAAATAAGTAGGCCCCGTACAGAGTAGGAAAGCAATCTTAAGCGACCATTACCTCAGTAGTGAGGTCCAGCAAAAGTTCCAGTCTCTTAGAGTGTAAGCGACATTGTCATAACATAACGTCGTGTCGCCACAATTCCCAGATGCTCATAGTAGCTTTACCAACAGAAACACAATGTTTCCACCAAGGGGTGAAGAGATAAAGCAAGTGTGCTGTCCAAAGCCTGTCATCCCAGCATTTGGTAAACTGAAGCAGGGGTTCTGTTCTTCAAACAGGAGCTGCTGTTTGAAGGGGAAGGAGAGAAAGTAAAGAGAGCTCTCAGTGGTAGAATGTCTACCAACAAGCTGAAGAGCTTTGGTTCAATCCTCAACACTGCTGCCAAACAAGTCAATACGATTCATCGAGATGTGCAACAATATGGGAAAATTAAACATAAAATTTATGGATGATACAATACGAATCAAAAAGCCCAAATCAGGGACTGGAGAGATGGCTCAGTGGTTAAGAGCACTGACTGCTCTTCCAGAGGCCCTGGGTTCAATTCCCAGCGCCCACATGGCACCTCACAGCTGGCCGTTCCAGAGGATCTGTTGCCCTCATACAGACATACCTGCAGACAGCACTCCAACATAAATAAAATAAAAATAGACTTTTAAAAAGCCAAAATTGAACCTAACAAAAACTCTCCTGGAACAGTTTTGCTGGGGAACCCCTCCCCTGCAGGAACAGATCTGTTCTGTTGGGGAAGCCTTTTCCTGGAACAAGGCTAGCTATAGGCTGTTTGTTATGCTTATGGTGACTTTGTGGTCAGGATTGCTTTCCAACCGAGCTGCAGTGCTTACAACTGCTGTTTAAGCTGGAGTTAACCAGAAGATACCAGTGATCCAGCGGGGTGACCTCTTGCGTTCTGCCCCAATTTTTTCAAGGAGAAGATGGGCTACGTGGAAAGAGTCAAGGGTAGCACACTCCCTTAAGGACAGGATCCCATATCTCTGCTGCCCTTGAGCCTCCTTGCTCCCAAGTTTCAAAGCAGTAACTAGTCCTTTTAGATCAGTGATCCCTGCCTCTCTCAACCGTGCAAGGATGCCCACCTCAGGGTAACCACAAGAGAAGGAAAGAGGGATACCGTTCTCTTAATCACAACCCCTTGTTCTTGGTCAAAACCTGCCCATGTTGTCAAAAAGAGGTGTCGGGTTTCTATAGCAACTGGGACGTACTCAGTCTTCCCTCAAACCGGAAATGACTGTGTACCCACCCCGTCTTCAAGTTCCCCCACCCCCACTCCCATTTCTGAGAACAAAGCACCTTTCACCCTTGAGGCCACCTGAGAAAAACCGTTCATTAGATTAGGACGCAGACCATTGACAGATTTTAAAAAGTACGATTTTAGCTGCAGAATGTGCTTTAAAAGACATTTTGGTCACCATAATGCCGTCCTGTTTCTAAAGCAATCGCGATGCTATGATTGTTAGAAAATCTTAAAATGTCTCCACATGGACTTCTTTTCCATGCCCTTGCCTGTCCCTGAAAGTAAACTCTTTTAAGATAACCAAACTAATCACAGTCATTTGAGAAAGTGTGCCAGATTGCTTTCTGTTAGCAGAACCCTGTGCAAGTTTTGGAAGCAAAACACGTTAGCGTCAGCGAAACCCTGTTTTCGGTAGATGAAGTCCATCTAACTAAAAACTTATGGATCGCCTTGATGACGTCAGGTTACTGTGGCAACAGCGACCCGCAGTCTTATCCTCCACTCTGGCACTGTTTACACACGACCTTCCTTTCTCTCCCTTATCTTTCTCTGAAAGCAAAACGCTTGCTCTTTTGCAGGCTACCATCTTAAAGGGGGATGTAGACAATTGGCAAAATTCTTCTCAGTTTCTGGACAGCAAACGCGTGTCTGTTTGCAGGAGTTTTGTTTGCTATAATTGTGAATATAGGGGACTTTTATCGTCAGAAAGACCCACATGTACTTATTATGAAACTGCATAGCCTCTGTTCAAATCTAGCCTTTTCACTCCATTTGCCTGCATCAATTCCCATATATTTAAAGTCAGGCAATAGCTCCATCTCATAGGCTGTGAGATTTTTTTAAAAGTATAACTTACCGTTTAGTGTCAGATAAGAAGGAAGTTATTATTGCATATTATTACGATTCCTTTCACAAAGCAATGTGCCTTACCCTCCTCTGAGGACTGGGTGGGGGTGGGGGAAGGGAATGGGAGGAGGGGATGGAGTCAGAACTTGGATTGGTATTTTTAGAAATCTAATAAATTAAAAATAAAAAAGATTTCTTTCATCAGTGCTATTATTATGTTCATTGATAAAGATAGGTATGGATTAATATACAGATATGGCTTTCATCAAAGATGGTAACGCCATGC